CAGCTTTCAGGTATGTGTTATAAAATTTTGAAATAAATTAAAATTTTATTTTTTAAACATAATTTAATAATACAACATATAAAAAAATGCAACAATACTTCCTGTGAATATTGTAAACCAATCCGTCTTCCATTACATGAGTTTCACAACTTGAGTTTTCTTTTAGACCTGATACCTTCACAAGGTAATCTACTATATCACACATATAATATCAATTAAATATTAATTTTTTTTATTTTTTTTTAAAAAATTTAGACAATAAAGATCATTATACACCTTTTCAAAATGTTTATGGAACTGAAACTACTGAAGAGTATAGACTAACATATATGCAATCCCAAGCAAATACAGAGTCTATTCCAAAGTCTATCTTGGTTGTAGGAAAAATCCGTGATTATATCAATTGTGAATATTGTAGAAAACGTTGTTGTGTATATAGTGATAGATCTTTGACCTATGAAGAAGAAGAAGATTATCAACAGGCATTAGAATCATATTCATATTCTTGTAGTGTACTAATTTTTCCTGATGATCATTATTTGAAAGAAATAATATTCGTACGTATGCGAATTAACTGTGATTCACCAATCGAAATAACATATTATTCAAGTCGTAAATCAGAAAATTATTTAATTTGTTATTATTGTGGAGAAAGTAAAGGTTTGGTGACTCCTCCTCAATCTTTAAAAGAACGTTTTAAACAAATTTATCCATTATGTAAAGAATGTCAAAATAATCAAAAAGAATTTCATACTAGAACAAAAATTAAAACTAATGGGCGTTCTTTTAAACATTATAAAAAATAATCAAATCATTTTTTTTTGTAATACAAATTTGGAATATTAAATAAATAAATAAAAATTTATAATATGTATTATTTTTGATTCCCTCCCTCTCTATTTTTGGTTGACTTATGTTATGTTAAACAAATAATTGATTTTGTTTGGCCTAATAAATAAAATGTACCGATTATTGATACTGAATTGCTTGTCTGATTGGAGTCGATTGGCATCGATCAATGTCTGAATTATTACTGAATTGATACTGAATTGAGGCTAATTTTAGGCTAATTTATGGTTGAATTGCTTGTCTAATTGGAGTCGATCAGTATCGATCAGCATCTGAATTATTACTGAATTGTGGCCAATTTTAGGCTGATTTATGGTTATTTAAGTTTTGAATTGATGCTAAATGGCTATGTCTGATTGGAGTCAATTAGCGTCTATTAGCATCTGAATTATTGCCGAATTAATACTGAATTGAGGTTGATTTATGGTTGAATTTAAGTTCCAAATGGTCATGTCTAATTGGGATCGATTAGCGTCTATTGGCATGTGTTTATGCCGATCAGAAAATATAATAAATTGGTCATAAATAGTATCAAAATTAGCCTAAAATTAGCCATCTAATTTTTAACCGATTTGGAATATTTCGATTAGTGTTAGATATTTTCTACTTTTACTATATACTATGCTAATGGAAAGTTTAAATTAATTTCTTTACTTAAATTACCTCTATATTTAATAAATCTATATATTTCATCAAGATTTAAAGCTAATATTTTTTGTAAAAATATCAGAAGTTATAATTATCTATTAGCTTGCACATCATTTGGAGCTAGTGTTCTGCACAGATTCAGATCGATCTGAATTCAATCTGAATCTGACAGAACAGATTCAGATCAGATCTGTCAGATTCAGATCTAATTTGGATTTAGATTCAGATTGGATCTGATTCGTCAGATTCAGATTCAGATTGGATTCAGATCTGATCTGTCAGATTTGAATTCAACTATTTTAAAGCTAAAAAGTTCCTTTTCAATGAAAAGGGACGAATTTTCAGACTTCTTCAAAACCAAAATTTTGTTTTCTTTCATTGAAAAAAAACGAATTTTTGAAACTCTTTTAGAACTGAAAAGTTCCTTTTAATGAAAAGGAACGACTTTTCAGAACTCTTTTAAAGCTGAAAAGTTTCCTTTCAATGAAAAGAAATGACTTTTTAGAACTCTTTTAAAACTAAAAAGGTTCCTTTCAATAAAAAGAAATGACTTTTCAGAACTCTTTTAGAGCCAAAAAGGTTTTTTTTATTGAAAAGTAATGACTTTTTGAAAACTTTTTTAGAGCTGAAAAGGTTCCTTTCAATGAAAAGTAATGACTTTTCAGACTTTTTTAGAGCTTAAAAGGTTTCTTTTATTAAAAAGAAATGGCTTTTCAAAACTCTTTTAGAGCTGAAAAGGTTTCTTCAATGAAAAGGAATGACTTTTCAGAACTCTTTTAGAGCAAAAAAAGTTCCTTTCAATAAAAGCAACAATTTTTTAGAACTCTTTTAGAGCTGAAAAAATTTCTTTTATTGAAAAGGAATGACTTTTTAGAACTCTTTTAGAGCAAAAAAGGTTCCTTTCAATGAAAAGGAATGACTTATTAGAACTCTTTTAGAGCTAAAAAGGTTTCTTTTATTGAAAAGAAACATTTTCAGATCTCTTTTAGAACTGAAAATTTGTTTTTTTAATAATACTTTCAGATTTGGATCAGATCAGATTTGGACTTAAACTGATCCGTCAGATCTGAATTTGAGATTCGATCTATTAGATTCAGATCAGATCTGGATTTCAACGGATCTGTTAGATTCAGATCAGATTCAGATTCTGAAAAATGAAAATCAAATCAGATCAGATTTGGATAAAATCTGATCTGATCTGATTTTACGAAACATTATTATAAGCTAATATAAATGAAGAATTTCAGAGAAAAAGACTAATTTTATTATTCAAGATCAAGTTTATCATTTTATTGGATTACTGTTATCATAAGAAGGATAAGTACCTAGATTTGTTCAACTATATATTTATAATACTGATAATAAAATCAAAAATTATCTTAACATTATAAAAATTTAAATATAACAATTTTACAAAAATTACAAAATATGCTTAATGATATTAATCCTTATATTAAAGCTTTTAGATAAACATGAAAAATTTTGTAAACATCTGAATTTTCTAATATATCAATATTAATTCATAGTGATTGCATATAAGATTTACATAGATATAGAATATCTATATCTTCTGATGTAGCAGCACTTATGATTGAAGATAGATATGATATAGAACTATTAAATTGTGATATTCTGCTTAAAAAATGTGAAGAAGATTTATAAAGAATATCTAAACTGCATCCTTTCTATGATCTATTATATTTTGTATTATTATTTTCAAAAGGTGATAATAGTTAGCATATAGATATACCTCTTATAGGATCTATAATAAGGAAAAGAGTATTACAAATGCAGTTTTATTTTTATAGATTATAAATTAGAAATAATAATTGAATACAAAATGCTGGCCAATTATTTTAACAATATATTGTTAATGCATATGCAAAAATTGAACAAAATCATTTAAATTATCTAAGACAAAATCAGTTAATACTGAGAATTAAATTTTATGAAGGAATTGTACATGTAATTTATATAGAAGATATCTTCCTCTCAAACAATAATCATTGATAATATAATAGAAAACAAAGCATTTAGTAAAATAGAATATTATTTTCAATCAAATGAAACATTGTTAAGCCTAAACACTATATCGTTAGGATAATAAAGCTTATTTGCTAACAGGGAGTTTAAATTGTAAACTATGAAAGAAATAAACACGAATTTATTTAAGTTAAAGGGTCAGGTCGTCTTTATTGATGATTTATGTTT